AGTGAAATATCTAGGAATAACCCTGGATAGTAAACTTCTCTGGAACAGGCATATTAAGAACATTACGAGCAAAGCCACAAAGGCTCTCATGATATGCAGAAGACTGGCGGGAAATAGGTAGGGCTGCGCCCCAAAAATTTTGCGCTGGATGTATACCATGATAGTAAGACCCGTGATTACATATGGAGCAGTTGCTTGGTATACAAAACTAGAGCAACGTACAGCAAGGCAAAACCTGTGCAAAGTACAGAGACTGGCATCTATACACAGGTGCCATGAGAACATGTCCAACAGTAGCAATGGAGGTCATTTTAGACCTAACATCACTGCATATTGTCGTCGGTAGTTATGCCAATACGACAATGATTAGAATGGTCATAGACGGAAACAGTACTGGGAGAATTTTTAGGTCAGGGGCTTGGAACACCCTCAAAAAGAAAATTCCATTTCTCCAACTCCCAGTGGATGACATACCAAGAATTTACAACTTTGCGAAACACCTCACTGTAGTATTAAGTAATAAAAAGGATTGGAAGGAAGAAACGTTTACTCAGCATATAAAAGACAATACCATAACGTGGTATACTGATGCTTCCAAAACCAAAGCAGGGACAGGGATAGGAGTATTTGGGCCGAAAACCAAATACGCCGAACCAATGGGCACCTACCCCAGTATCCTTCAGGCAGAAATTTACGCTATCGAAAGATGTGTAAAATTTATCTTAGACAAGGAACTATCGAAAACAGGAAATTGCCATCCTATCCGATAGTCATGCAGCACTAAACGCGATCAACTCAGTAACCATCAATTCGAAGTTGGCCAAAGAATGCCTAGAGAAGCTCAACAAGTTGGGCAAACAAAATAAACTCCTCCTACTCTGGGTGCCTGCTCACCAAGGGATAAAAGGCAATGAAAAAGCAAATGATCTAGCTAGGAAAGGAGCGAACACTCCACTAACTGGACCAGAACCGTTCTGTTTTCCAAGCGGAAACCAGCTGAAAGCGGAACTGAAGAATCTGGAAGACTCCAACCGCAACTTAGAATGGGTGTCTTCCAACGGTCTAAGACACTCGAAAACCGAGAAAAATCAAAGGCTTTCCTTGATTTAAATAAAAACAATCTTCGGATTGTCACGGGGTTTCTAACAGGACCCTGTCTCCTCAACGAACACCTCAGTAGGCTGAAGCTGAGAAACAACGGCGGCGCAGATTCTGTGGGGAATATGTGGGGAAACCCAGAACACCTCATCACTGAGTGCGCCGAGACGATTGACCATTCGTGCCATGAACTTTGGCACGGCTGATGTCAAGGATGGAGAGCTGGCCTCTATGGAGCTGTCTCAGATACTGATGGCTTTTGTTAAAGCCTTTGAGACTGTATGATGAGTTATAACTCGTTATAGCTCAAGAAAGGGGAACACACAATAGATCTTTAAGGTCGCGGTGACTAACTCCCTCCTAAACATTCTACATTCTACATTCTACCCTTGAGGTTAAAGTACCATTTTATCTACTATTTTGATAGATATAAAGCAATTTCATATGGGCCATTAACAATTTGTGCTTGGTATCCGTTACAGTTAACCTGGATGCGAAGCTCAAATTTTATTTAATAAAAAAGCAAAATAAAACCGCTGGTTTACTACGATAAACCAAAACATTTTACTTTTAGCATTGGACCTGAATTTCGCTAACCATGTTGGAACAGATGATTAAAACTCAGTGAGTTTTAATAACCTGGTGTATTGTGGTGAACTAGTGTTTTAATAGTTAGTTTTTATAATAACAGCCAATGTTCCTATCCCTTACTATTCGAAGATGATTTTCATGCATCCGTTGTTCGATGATGATGATACGATATTAATTTATTGGCTGAATTTTAAAGGCTTCGATTGGTTAACCCTTTCTAACCAATCAAAGGCTTTACATTCAACCAATAAAATTGATATCGTATCATCGTATCGTCGGATAACGGATGCATGAAAATCAAGCTTAATAGAAAATGTGAGTTTTGATGAACTATACAGGTGGTCCGAACTGTATTCCGGAAACTTTGGCAGCATATTCTGCAGATAAAAATAATTAAAAAAGTTCGTATAAATGTATGACCTAAAATTATTAGTTTCTGAGATACAGGATGTAGAAGTTTCATTTTATATTTCAATTTTTTCCAAATAATTTATGAAGTAACGTCAATATTTGGATGAAAATTGGTGTCTGATAGTGTTTTGACATCAGAAATTTAATTTTGATGCTCTCAATACATTCCTGTCTGTTGGGCGCCACCTACATATGTTTTAAATGTTTTGAAGAGTAATAACTTTTCGCCCGTACCTGTATAAAATTACTGAGTAAAAAATGTACATTTACGATGTTTTTTACATAAAAAAAGTCTCTTGGTAAAAATCGCTACGAGTAATGGTTCTCGAGATATTTGGAATCTAAATTATCAATACATGTCATTATTGATATAGATTAAACGTGCTGAGTAAATAGTTATTAGACTATATCATAAACTTGAAATGTTTTTGTGTCAAAAGTTCAACAGAAACTGTTTTATCATCATTTTTTTGAAGGAAAATAAAAAGTTCCCAAATTTACCACTTCAGTCAAATAACTATCCACTCAACGTATTATTTTTGTCAATAATTACGTGTATTGACTATTTTCATTATAAATATCTTAAGAACGGTTGGTCGTAGCGATTTTTGCGAAATAGATATTTTTTACGTAAAAAGTCGCGGAAATGTATATTTTTTCACTCTGTAGTTTTATACAGGTACGGGCGAAAAGTTATTACTCTTCAAAACATTTAAAGCATATGTAGGTGGCGCCCGCTACAAATAGGAGTCATATTGTAGGTGATATACATAGTCATACATCAAAATCAAATTTCTCATGTCAAAAAATTCAAAATCAGACACCAATTTTCATCCAAATATTGACGTTAATTCAAAAAAAAAGAAAACAAAGTACAAAAAGCCAAAACAGCTTCATCGACAAAGCAAAACAAAAAAAGCACAAACCAAACCAAACCAAACAAATATACAAATAATAAAAAAAAAAATGTCATACAATACAAATCAATTCAAAAAAAAATTTACGTCATAAAATTACAAATAAAACATATATGGACATTGCAGAACACAGGCGTATCTAGAAAATTTTACAAAAGGAAAACTGTAAATGGATAAAATCATGTTATAATAACATAAAATCAAGAGTTATAAAATATTAAATACTAGACCTTTAACCAGTGTGTGAGATGATCAAAATATTAAAATTAAAATTCTAAATTGTTCATGATTAAACATCAACAAAAAAGTCGTTTACCTCATATAGGGCTCTCTCCAGTAAGTATGATTTCAGAGCTTTGCGAAATGCGGGAAAGAATGAAAGTGACTTGATATTCGAAGGCAAATGATTGTACATTTTCTTGGCATTATACAGTATTGAGCCCGTAACTTGTTCTGAGCTCGGGGTTGGCAGATAAATATCGTGCTCCGCATTCCTAAGTGGATAGTTGTGCGAAGGCCTTTCTGGAATAGAGAATATGTGCTTGCGGATTAAGCAAACGGATTCAAAAATGAATAAGGAAGGAAGAGTCAGTATTTTGAAATTTTTAAAGAAATTCTGGCAGTGAGTTCTACTGTTTAGTCCCAATAAGTATCGAACTGCCTCTTTTGAAGCTTGAAAAATACGATCAAATTTTGTCGCGCAGCAAGTACCCCAGAATGGAAGGGCATAACGAAGATGCGACTCAAAAGGCATAATAGACCATTCTAGAGGTTGATGAGATAAGTTCCTAGACACTGATCTTAGCGCAAAAACAGGCAGAGCTTAGTTTCTTTTGATAAGGCTGATGTGCAAGTCCCATTTTAAAGAGTTGTCCACAACAAGTCCTAAGAATTTCACAGAGTCCACGACGTCAATAGTGGTGTTATTAAGTACAAAAGGTTGTATAGTACTTTTATATGACAAAACTTTAGTTTTTGAAAAGTTGAGGCATAGGAGATTAGAATCCCACCAAGATTTAATGGTGCGTAAGTCACTGGATATAGTATCATATAGTGCCGTAACATCTGGGCCGCTCCAAGTGAAACTAGTATCATCCGCAAAGAGGCAGATTTTACCGCTAATGTCTAGATTTGCAATGTCGTTGATAAACACCAGAAATAAAATAGGGCCAAGTACTGAACCCTGAGGGACACCACATTCTATAGGCTTACAAGAAGACATAGACGTATCAATCCCCACAAGCTGCCTTCTGTTGCCAAGATATGACTTAAGCCATTCGAGCGGCACTCCCCTGAATCCATAGTATTGCAATTATTTTTTGTCAATAATGATATGAATTGACTAATTCCATTCCAAATATCTTGAAAACGATTGCTCGTAGCGATTTTTACCAAGAGACATTTTTATCGTAAAAAAATATGGAAATGTATATATTTTCACTCAGTACTTTTATACAGGTGGTATACGGATGGAAAGTTATTACTCTTCAAATCAGTTAAAAGCATGTAAGTGGCGCCCCCCTACAAGTAGGAGTTAATTGACAACGAAATCAAAAATTTCTGATGTCAAAAAACACCAAGACGCCAATTTTCATCCAAATATGCAAATATCCACCTTAATTCAGAAATTATTTGGAAAAACCCGAAATAAAAATGAATCTTCTACACTCTGAATCTCCAAAACGAGGTATTTTAGGACATAAATTTATACGAACTTACCTATTATTATCTGCAGAATACGCTACCTAAGATTCCCGAATACAATTCTGACCACCCTGCATATGTTATTGTTCTAATAAAAAATAAAACATCATTCTGTATTATATATCATTCAAGGGTAAGAGAAAACTACTTTTAATGCTAAAACACGATTAATCTCAAAATATATAGTAAAGTAGTCCATTAAATGGTTTTCAACTAACATTTTGTTGTGCTTTGATAGAACAACTATAAAGTAAAATGAAAATAAATTTTTGTTTATACCTGTATGGAATATCGCTCAGGTTGCTTTGCGAATGGGAATGTGGCACTTTGGGTTCCTTCACGATGCTAGAGTGCGCTCCGACGCTGACACCGAAATGCGATATTTCATGCGCCGAACCGGATAGACTGCGATCGCTTCCTCTGCGCTTGCTCAGAGCGCCTGCGCACGGAACCGTCACAGCTTGCTGCGCCGATCCGCCTTGGTTGGGTTGCGCGCTAGTCGAGGCTTTTTTCTTCGTCGGTCCGAACCCAAAAAACCTAGTAAAATATTCAAATTATCTCCAAAACTGTACATTTATTTATTAACTTAATTTAGTTAAAGTATATCCGGCGATAAAAGGAACTATTTTGAAAGGCGAAAATAAAAATGACAGAGAAATAAAATCTAGGACAAAAATGACAAAAAAAGTGACAAAATGAAATGACAAAGAACAGAGATGTTTATGTGTACCGGGTGCGTCTCAAAAGTGGCTCACCCCTATAACTTTTTTATTTTTTCAGATAAAACAACGAGATTTGGTATGTTAGTATATGACATAAATTGGGATTGATTGACGTATTCAATTGTTTTTCGGTCACTTCCGGTTTCACCGGAAGTACTACAACTTTTGATTTTTACCCTCGGTATATTTTCTACTTTATTCGATAGAAACTGACACTCTGAATAGAATCACATATCATATGTCAATATTTGACATTTTCGCATGTGGTTTATTCTTTGAATAAGAAGACTAAGGAAGGAGCATAATGCTATCCATGTATTCATGCATGGTGGGCGGAAAAAGGACTCTAGGGTGGGGATCCTTGACGGTTCTGTTAACGATTCATTTGACACATTTGAATTTGATTTGAAATTTTGTGGATTTGTCAATCTTTACGGAGCTTATTTTATGTTATTTATTATTTATTCTACTACTGATAGTTGTATAAAGGTAGTAAATCTAGATGGAAATTGTGGCAGAACTTAAATCGGCAAAAAATCGAGTGAAATAATGGAACAACTTTCTCTAGTAAGTGACTATATAATATACATACGTGTAGTAAACCGATCATTTATGAAATTCACTTTAAACTAACTATTATATATATATTTTTTCTTGCATTTTTTGCTTTTATTTACTACTTGTGAAAGATTAGATGTCAAAAAATTTAGATACGCCAATTTGATTCTACCTGCTTCAGTAGCGTATCGGATGTTTGTGATAATAAATAATTATTAAAACTTATCTATTTTTATTATAATAATATGTTTTTATAACAATTTTAATAACTAGCAACATTTATTCACAACGCAAAAATAAAAAAAAAAATATTGAGTCTACCCCACGTCTACACTACATCATAGTTTACATTTTTAAATACAATTAGAACGGCACTGATAAACCCGTAAACCCTGAATTTAAGTCGGCCATATTTGAGTCCCATCGCGGTGGACCTAAGATTTTTATATGCTCCTTCCTTAGTCTTCTTATTCAAAGGGTTTATTTGAAATTGTAACATGCGGTTCATAACGACAATGGTGTGTGTGGTACCAAATTATTCGTAAAAATGTTTTTTCCAAATATGCTAACGAGCAACCCTTGTTCTATTTGAAAAATTGAGATATGATTTGGTTGCGAAAAATACGATTTGGGCATCTTTTAACCTGCCACCGACAAGACACGAAAACATTAGACTCTCAAAACTATTTTCCCAAGGCTCCTTGATTGCAAAATTAATGTTTTTAACACAGCCATGGCACTCAAGATTGAAATTTAAAATACCCTTTTTTAAGAAAATGTCAAGTTGACATATGATATGTCATTCTATTCAGAGTGTCATTTCTATCATCGGAAGTAGAAATATACTGAGGTGCCATTTAAAATCCAAAGTTGTAATAATTAATTTTCGGTGAAACAGGAAGTGACCAAAAGAATTGAATACGTCAATCAATCTAATTTATGTCATACACTAATATTCCAAATCTCGTTTTTTAATCTGAAAAAGTATAAAAAATAGGGGTGAGCCACTCTCGAGACGCACCCGGTATATGTGACCAAATTGAATTGAGTAAAGCAATGTTTTTATTTAGTTAAGTTTTTCGAAAACATTTTTATTTTTATTTGCTTCTGCTGATTATAGATACTAAATTCTTATTTATGATTCAAATGTTATACAGGTTTTAAAACAGCTACATTGTATTTACTTCTTTTTCTTCGACGATCGCTACGTGCCTAATACTTGTTATTTAAATATACAGGGTGTCCCAGAAATAAATGCAAATATTTTAGCTGGTAGTATAGTTCAACCCCAGAAACACGCCTATGAGGTTTTTTCTTCATGAAAAAAAATTTGAAAACTCGAAATTTTCGTAAAATTTTTGGAATTTTTTTTAGTTTAGTTAAAAACATACTTTCTTGATAATATGGCAACATAGGTATTAGATTAAATTTACAAGAAAGAAAATCCAGAAAGATCCAGTGGTTCTCAAAATTTTAGCAAAAAATCATTTTTTTGGAAATTTTCAAAGTAAAATAACTCCGTTATTTTGGACTCATTTGAAAACGATAAAGAGAAAATATGTTTCTTTTATCGAGATCTACCATCCCTTAAAATATTTGCACTTATTTCTGGGACACCCTGTATAAACTATTTATAGCTTTTCTTCCCATTTCATTCTTCCTTGAAAACAAGTGTTTCAATTGTTGATGTATATTTTTATGACTAAATATAAAGAGAAAACACTTGTTAGCCAGTGAAAGCTCTAATCTCGAGAACAGGTACAATGTACAGGGTGGGTCAAATTCGACGCTTTTAAATGGAAACACCCTTTTCTATACGAGATAGACAAAAACTAATATTGGTGTCTGGAGCTCAATTTTTGTGAAAAACATGATGGTGAAAACCACATATCGATATCTATTACCGTTTCTGAATTTTTGATGCGGTGTGTTTTTCAAAATATGCATTTTAAACAAATCGCTGTAACTTTTTTGCTATGGAAAATTTTTGTATTTTTATGAAAACATTTCCAAAGCACCTTTTACGTAGAATTTAATGGTTTAAGTATAAATTTTTTAAAGTTAATAATTTAAGAATTATCAATAGAAAATTTGATTTTTTATATGGGACACCCTGTATATTTTTAATTTATTCAAAATAATTTAAAATTACCTTATCGACCGTCTTCTGTTATGGGCAGACGGGGCAGTTTTTGAACATTTCTCGCGGAATTCATTAACTCAGTGGGGGTGAAAGATACCCTCTCACAACTGCTAAGTATTTCTAATTATTGTCTAGATTATACGGAAGAATAAGGAACCTTTATTCTTTCGCAAATATATCCATAGGATTAGATTCATGGGCTCTAAGTCATGCGGCCTCGACGGCCAACGACTGGGCGAAGTATAAAAAATATCACGAGTGCTATATTTTTAGAAAGGTAATTTTAAATTCTTTTCAGTTAATTAAAAATATAGAGGGTGTCCTAAATAAAAAATCAATTTTTCTGTTCATAACTCTTAAATTATTAATTTAAAAAAAATTATACTTAAACCGTTAAATTCTACGCAAAAAGGTGCTTTGGAAATGTTTTCATAGAAATACAAAATTTTCCATAGCAAAAAAGCAGCGATTTGTTAAAAAGTGCACATTTTGAGGAAAACACCCCGTAACTCCGGAAACGGTAACAGATGATATTGATGTGCGGTTTACCTATATAAGACTATCTATGGCTAGTCTATGTTAATACTAAGCAGAGCTGCAAGCTTACAGGAAACTTAAGTCAATTTTTGATTTAAGTCATTCTAATGACTTAAGTCATTTTATTTCAAGTCATATTTCTGAGCTGGCTAATTTTAGAAAAGATTTAAGTCTTTTTAGTCGTAAAAAATGTTGTGTGGACAGCAGATCAGCAGTAGGACAGCAGATCAAAAACTCAGACACTCGCTACCGTTATAGTAAAATGCCATGCCTAGTTTTAAATGCATTTTTTGAATAGGATTTTTTTTATATTTTTATGATTTTTTTTATTAATAAGTTGTTTTATGCCCTTGATGCGTATATTTTTTATTGTTAGTTACGTTATTCTGAAAATATATCGTTTTATTTTTAAGTGCTTTTTTATATGTATCTACAAAAAAATAAATAGTAGGTAGGTAATAAGAAAATCGGTAATACAGAGTAAGTAATAAGAAAATTTAAAAAATAGGTACTTAAATTGAATTCCGGTTGTCTCAACTTGGGGGTAATTATATTGATAAGTCATTTTACTTACTTAACATACTATATAATCATGATTTGATTTGACTTAAGTCATAAAAATGACTTAAATAACCTTTTTTTACAGTATTATAAGTTTTTACAAAAATGACGACTTAAATTAAAATGATTTAAGTCAAAGACTTAAGATTTAAATCATTTGAACTTTATGTTGAAATTGACTAAATCATTTTGATTTTAGAATTGACATGAGACTTAAGATTTAAGACTTTTTTGAAACTGACTTGTTGCAGCTCTGTTACTAAGTAATACTACCATTATTAAAAAAATCTAGGTAGGTGTATGTATTTTTCGAAGAAATCATTAATAGAAAAGTATGGATTTGTAGACAGAATAATCAATCTTTGCATATTTATCTACACTCACCGGCAAAAAAACCGGCCACTAAAAACTAGTCCCAATTTCAAAGTTGGATTTCTCGCGAACCACTCATTCCATTTTGATGATTTTTTTTTTAAATTGTAAATTAATTCCTTCTTAACGGATGCTACCTCAGAAATTTTTATTCCGAATTTATTTTGAGTATATACAGGGCACAACAATAAGACGAAGTTTTTTGTCCGAACTTTGTAACACTCTGTAGGGCGCAGCAGCTGTAGTAGCTATTGCTAAATTAAATAACATTGTAGATTGTAGCCTCATCTTTTGTGAGCATTTTGTTTTTTTAATTATGACATTATCTCTGTTTGTATTGGAGATACGCTGCTTTAAAATGAACGTCTCGGAAAAATGCTTCACAGGCAAAACCGCGATTCATCCGTGAAAAGGACTTTAGTCCATTGCTCAATATCCCAATTCACACTTAAACGCGCAAACTGAAGACGTGTTCGACTATATCTTGGAAGTAGCGGTCCTGTGGCAGGTCTCCTTGCAGACAAGCTATTTTCTTTTAGTCTTCGTCGGGTTGTTCTCTCACTGACTTCAGTTCTACGCACGGCTTGTAGCAGATGTTGGTTCTGGAACGTTGTAATTTTACGATTTCGTAAAGTATTCAGGGA